TTCAAAAAGGGAGAAAAGGAAAACAAAGGGGAAAAAAAAGAGGGGAGTCACCAGTCTCAAGCAATCTGAAAATGCAGCGGAGACACCAGCATTAGGTTTCAAGGCCTGAGAATAATCCTCTGTGGTCTTCAGCTCTGTCCCCTGGGCTTATGACTCCTCCCTGTGAAGCCGAGGTTCCACCCTTGGAGCCGTCCTCCCTCCCACTCTCATCAAGGGTAGCATGTATTACAGCTGGGCAGTTTTATCACCAGTCTCCTCCCTGTGGAATGTTGTGGTTCCTACAGTTCTCTTTCATTTTGACCTCTCTGTCCTTTCAGTCCAAGCTGGCAATGATTTTGCTGGTATGAAACTATCAAGAACCTTATGAGTCTCCTGTGTATGTCACAGGAATTTCCTCCATTAGATAAGAAGCCCCTCCACAGGCCTTTCTCGGAGAATTCCATCTCTGTTTTTGGCTTCTGCTGACATGGTTGAAGGGATTCATGAGTCACATGCCTAATCTCTTTGGAGGGGCCTCTCTGTGACTCAGTTCTCTGATCTTTTGATCCTTCTGCAGTATTAGAAAAAGGTTGTCCAGACACAATGTTGTCTCTCCTTCCAGAACACTCTCAACAGTGCATCTCCTAATTGTAGTGTCTTTTGCAACCTAGATCGCTAAGAATTTCCTATTTCATCAAATCCTGGTTCCTTTTTGATTAAATTCTTCCCTCTTGCTTCCCTCTTTTCACTTGCATTTTGCTGTAGGGAGCAAGAAGAAACCAAGTCACATCTTCAGTGTCTTCAACACTTTTCTTGGGACTCTCTTCCCTGAAAAATATCCAAGTTCATCACTTTCAAGCTCTACTTCACATTTAACTGTAGGATACACTTCTGTTAATCTTCCTGCCACTATGTAATGTGAGTTTTCTTTCTGCCAATTTCTAGCAAGATTTCTCATTTCCTTCTGAGCCCTTACCAGCAATGCTTTTACTGTCCTTTCTACCAAGAGTCAGTTTATGGCGATTTAAGTTTTCTCCAAGACAATACAGGTCTCTACTGTTCTTCCCCTTCCTTCTGAGTCTTTACAAGCAGAGTCATTAAAATCTACATTTCTACTAACAGTCTATTCAGAACAATCTGGGCTTTCTCTCTCATACTCAGAATTCATCTGGTATCTGTCCTTTATTCAATTCCAAAGCTACTAGCACATTTTTAGGTATTTTGTTACAGCAGCATCCTACTGTCAGGTACCACAGTTTGTATTAGTTTCCTGTTGCTGCTTTAACAAATTACTGTGAACTTAGTGGCTTAAAATAATTTATTGTCTTACAATTCTGGAGGTCAGAAGTCCAAAATTGGTCTTACTTGGCTAAATCCAAGGTGTTAAGAAGGTTCTAGGAAATATGTATTCCTTTGCCTTTTTCAGCCTCTGGAAGCCTCTTACATTTCTTTTCTCATTGCTCTCTCTCCTCTTTCACAGCTTGCAGTATAACGTATCACACCTCTCTCTGACAGTACTGCCTCTCCCTTATAAGGACTCTTATAAAGCCACTGGGCCCACCTGGATAATACGGGGACATCTTCCCATCTCAACATCCCTACCTTCGTCACATCAGCAAAGTCACTTTTGCCATGTAAGGTGTTCGCAGGCTCCAGGGATTAGGGTATGATTTCTTTGGGGAGGGGAGAGAGGAGACGGATGAGGGCATTATTTTTCCTACCAGAAAAACGTACTACACAAATAAGTTTCTTGAGAAGAGAGTTTGTACCTTCCTCCCTTTTTTTTTTTTTAGTTTTAATCACCAGATCCCAGCACAGTCATTGCCTGCTACCTAGAAGGAACGCAGCAAACTAATAATTTGCTTTAGTCCAAAAAAAAATGTATCTGGTAGCTACTATAAGACAGACACTCTTCTAGGTGTCAGGAAATAATGGTGGTGAAGAAAACACGGTCCTTGTTCTCATAGACCTTATATTCCAGTGTGGGGAAGCAGAGAGTACATGCAAAAAATATGTATCAGGTGATGAGATGAGGAAAAATAAACCAGGGTAAAGACAGAACATTCCAGGTGTGCTGTGTAAGGAGTCCTCTTGCCATTTGGCTGGAGACCAGAAATAACTGGGAGATCAAGACTTAGGAATATTTGGGAGATGAATAATTCATAAAAAGGAAATGATGAGTGCCAAGATTATGAGGTGGGAACATGCATAGATTTTGAGGCTTTTTAAGAGAATAGTAAGGATGCCAATGAGGCTCACAATGAGAGAGAGGGGAGAATGGTGTTAGATGAGGTCAGACAGGTAGAAGGTAAGACTACATATAATTTTGTAGTCTAGGGTAAAGAATTGGATTATACCCGGAGATGGAAGTGCATTACAGGGTTAACAGAGGCTGGCAAAAATCTGACTTGTATTTTAAGATTATCCTGGTTGTTATTTTGAATATTCACTGTGGGATGGTAAGGGCAGAGCAAAGAGACAAGACAGGGCTTTTGCAATAGTCCCAGGGAGATGTAACACTGATTTGGATTAGTGTGGTAGAAATGGTAGTGTGAAAACTTGTAGCTCATTCTGGATCTGTTTCTAAGGTGGAGCTCATATGATCTGCATGATGGATTGAATGTGGTATGAGAGAGCTATTAAGACTTACTTTAAGGACTTGGGCTGAACAGTTGATAATTGGAGGCATCATTTACTGAGCTGGGGAGAATTATAGAACAAGAGCAAAATTTCAATTTTGGTTGTGTTTAGATTGAGGTGCTTATCAGACATCAAGTAGAAATGTAGGGTCAGATAGGAGAGGATTTCAGGGCAGAGACCAGGGCTAGAGATACACTTGGAGGAATCTCAGCATGTAGATGACATGTGAAGCCATGAAACTAGGTGAAATCCCCAGGGGAACCATTCTGGAAAAGAAGTGGTGTCAGAATTGAACCAAGAAACACTCCTGTGTGTAGAGGTCAGGGTATGAAGAGGAACCAGCACAGAGTATGGCTAACAAGCAGGCAGTGGGGAAGGAGGGGGTCCAAGGGTAAGTGATGTTTTAGAAGCCAGAGGAAGACAGTCTTTCAAGAAAAGAGTGCTCAAATATGTTACCTGCTGCTGAGACATCAGTAAGATGAGGACCTCAGAAGAACCATTTATTTTGTCATCATGAAGGTGATTGTGTTTTGATGGAGTTGGGGATAAAAATGCCTGATTGACGTTATTCTTGGAGCTCCAAGTACCTTTATAATTCATGATAGAGCAAAGAATCATTATTGCATTTCTGAAGGTTGACAAATACCTTGAACTTGATGCTATGCAGTTTTGGACTGACAGAGTATAAATACTGGAGTTTCTTTGAAGTTGAGACTTCTAAGTTGATTATCTAGAGTCCTTTTACTTGTAAACCGCCAAAAACATGCTAGGTTTAAATTGTTTAAATTCCTCACCTCCAATTATCTTGTTATTTTCTTCCCAGTATAAGACAGACAAGTTCCTAAAGTGGAAAGGCTACAGCAACTGAGGAAAATTCCATTTCCCTGGGAAGACACAGCTTAATGCAAGTGGAGTAGTCTAAGGCAGTTTAACTTTTTACCCCGTTTCCTCCTGGTGCTGACAGAGGTCAAATGTCAGATGCTCCAGGTCATAGACTGGTTATAGGAATTCTTTAGTTGAAAATGCATTCATTCTCTTGAGACCAATGAATATGTCAGAATTAGTGTTGTTTAACTGCATATTTCCCTCCTCTTGGTAAAATCAATTATCCGAACATTGTTGGCTTATAAATATGACTTCATATATCTAAATCATAGACTTTACATTTGGTATCTTTTCCAGGAAAAAAAAGGAATAACCATAAAATATTGAAACTCATAGAGTCAAATTCTCTTCCAGTGTCCTGCCAATGTTCATTATCAGTCCGTTTAAATAACATGAATAAATGAAAATTATTCTACGCACTTCACTCACATTATATGCATGCTTTTTCATTTCCTTTCTATAGAGGGGAATTTTATAGCAAGCATGGGATGGACAGATAGCAAGGGAAGCTGACTGGGAAAAAGTACTGTGTGAAAAACCCACCCACAGCATGAGATTGTTGTTGATGAGGACTATAGCGGCAATTTATGAAAAAGGACTCATGTCAAATAAAGATCCTGTACATTTTAATTGGAAATTGTATAATATATGTCCTGGAAACAGTACATTTGAAAAGTGTGTAATAAGTATAATGACGAAGGAAATTTGGGGGAAAAGTATTGCTTGAGTGTGGACATTTTTCAGTAATAAATACACTTTTTGATTCATATTGTCAAGTGTTTAGTGCAGAAACATATATCATTACAAAGATCTAAATCTCAATTAGATCTACTTACTAGGAATCACCAAGGTAAAAGAAATGTAGAGGATTAATAATATCACATCAAAAATAAATAAGTACATTTATGAGTGCTATCTTCAGATGTCATTTTAGAACACTGAGATTATTTATCCAGAATTACTTATCCCAGGATGAAAGGATCTATTACACTTCATAAGTTAATAGTGATTTTGCTTCTCTCTCTCTGTATTCATCTATCCAACCATCATATGCATTTATGTTTTTATATATCCTATCAGAATTGCAAAATGCATACAAGTAAACATTAACAGAATCTCAGAATACAATTACATGTAGGACACTTTAACCTTTAATGCCCTTCATACTTAATCTCAACTGTTCTTTGAAATTTGGAAGAATCATATATATATATATATAATTACACAACTAAGTCTGCAGTTGGAAGTCAGAATCATGGATGACAAAATGCTGATCCACAGAATGAACATAAAGTTGAACTAAACAGATTGCATAGATTTGGGGCTTTCAAATGATTGTCATGAGAAGTTACTGATTTTACAGTAGGAAGTTGTGGCCTAGAAATAAGGCCTTTGTCCCAGGCATTTTGTTCAGCGCAACATGCAAATGGTAACAAACCTCAGTAGCTTCTGGAGAGTGAATTTTGAATCATTTAAGAATACAAGCAACAAAATTAACTATTATCAGACTTTGGTTTATTGTAAAATTTAGCAAAGTTTTTCTCATAATCCCTGAACCCCTGCTCTGAAAACAAAAGGAAATACACAATTATTGCTTATTCTTTCCCCCCTGCTTTATGTGTGCCATTCTGAAAGGAGGGAGAAAAATCACTGTAATAAATAAAAACAGAGGTGGAAGAGGCAAAGATAAATCAGTCGAGAGGAGAAATATCAGGAGCAACAGAAATATCATCAAGCAGTTCAAAATAAGCTTTTTTTTAAAAGGTTGTCATAAAAAAAATCACACCAAAAATATAGCAGCGGAAGAGGATAAATACAAGCTGATTGCACACCAACCCCATGCAAAGCACCGGGTCATTAGCCAAAGCAGTAGTACTCAGCATCCAATTTGGGACGCTTGTGCCGTGCCTGTGAGTCCTCGATGGCTGAGTTGTCACTGAACTGGTCCAAGTCCGATGGGGTCTGGTGGCCTGGGACATCGTCTGCCAGGGTGTCCAGGTAGCTGCCCACGGAGATGCCGTCCAGCCCATCACTGCCGTCGTGCAGGCTGTTGCAGCTGCCGCGTAAGGAGGCGCTCTGGCTCTCCAGCAGACTGCACAGGCTGCCGCTGAGGCTGCTGCCTCGGCTGGTGATGGTGGCTTTCTCCTCGATCATCCACTTGATGGACTCAATGTTCTCATTGATGAGGAGAAGCTGGCGCATGAGCCTGACGTCTGTGGCTCTGAGGTTAACCTGTGCGGGGAGGGGGGGGGGAGCAAAGACGTTCCCGTTATTGTCCGTTCTTGAAAAAGCCCAGTTTTACCTGAGTTCTGCCTTCTGCAGTCCTTACCTTTAAATTCACAGAATAAAATACAAATTCACTGGAGCTCAGCATCTTTTGGAAAACTGCTACTGACAAATGGTAGGAGTCGTAATAAAAAAACTCACTTCCTGCCAGACCCAGCAGGCTCCAAAAGGGGCAGGGAGATGCCAACTACATCCCTGACCCTAACCAGGCAGCCTGAAAATTGCCTATTGAATGTCAGACCCTGTCAAAGAACTTAGTCTCTCTCTGGCCAGATCAATAGTTTATCGATGCTAACTGGGAATATGTATGTAGACACTGAGAGGTGGGGGAAGAGGATGGTGTAGAAATTAAGGAACCATCATAATCGTCATTGTGGCAGCTCCTATTTTTTGAGTGATGATGTGCCCGGCACTATTTTAAAAGCTCAAATAGTCATTGTAATAAATAGTAACCCTGTACCATGGGTATGATTGTTTTTATCCCCATTTTACAGATGAAGAAACTAAAATCTACAAAAAAAGTGTTAAGAGTACAGAAAAGATCTGCACTTTTTAATGACAATAGATAGTGCTGGGTGATGGTTTTATTTTTAAGAAGAACCGGACTGTTTCCCTGAATCCATAAAGGTACTGATACCAGGCTGATCGATGTTACACAGCAAAGTGTACAGATATTTGCTGAAGGTCTGATTATTTGCTTCATATGTGTCAAGAGCAACGCCAATTGAAATCTGGATATGAGACTCTGAGAAGGTTCTAGAACTCCCCTAAGTGCCTACTAGGTTTGTGTCTTTCTGATAGTTTAAGTTACTTCAGAGGAATCTGTTTTCACAGCCACAAAGCAGAATTTCTTTGTAGGCCCTATAGTTGGAATGGGAACGTTTGCTAACATCAAGGGTGTGATGATTCTGGGGAAGGTGGGGATGGGGGAGGCTGTGAGAACTCTCACGATAGCCCTTGTTCTTGTTGGAACTGAAGGAACATGGCTCCTGTCAAGATTCCAGTGCTTGGACTGGGAGGCAGGGATAGATTTGGCCACCAGAGGTCCTAGTCACACTCACTACAATTTAAAAGGGGTTCCGGTTTTTTCAGTTGAAGGCTTTAACCCAAGAGGCTGGGCCTTGCTAATTCTGTCTTTAAGACTCAGGACTGATTCAGCTTTGTGAGTTTCTAGAATGATCAAAGACACTCAGTCATGAGTGACTCAAGCCATAAGGGAGAAAAAAGCCTACTGTCTTCAAATGTATGCATTCATATTGTAAAGATATTTCCTAGGTAGCAGTTAATCCGTAATTGAAGGTGAACTTTGGAGTGAGTGAATATGATGAGTAAATATTACGAGAGCTGGAATTTCTTCAATGACTTCAAAGATGTAAGATTACAGGTTAAAAAGTGTGTGTGTGTGTGTGTGTGTGTGTGTGTGTGTGTGATTACATGCACACATATGTATGTATAAATATAAAAAGCATGAAGTACAGTTTAAAAACCCTTAATTTTGCTAGGACATTAAATAAAGTGACTTGGGTAACTACCGTTATCTTCTCTGAGAAATGCACCGAAAATTCATAGAGGGGTAAACAATGAAAAAAACCACTTCTCTCTGAGGTGTTTGTTCATGAGCGGAACTTAGTAAGAACTTGAGATGTTTTTCTATTTGTGGTCTCATCTCAATGACCTTGCAATGACGTTGTGTGGGGAAGGAGGGATTTTGGCAGTCTTTATGTTCACACTTACCCACATACCCCATGAGCCATTAAGATACTAAGTTACAAGTAATACAACAAATATTTACAAATCACCAGTAATTTGCTTACGTCCACTGAGGAGCCTAGAAAATCAATAGGGACCAAAGTCTTATGAAATTCTTCAGTTTGGCATCTGTAGCTGATGAAACTTGTGGTGCCCATTGTAGGCATGGTGCGTACCAGTGTGACCGTTTCCTGACAGCTTCCCAAATGAACCACAGCTGCATTTGTCCACATCCCCACCTGGTCCCTGAAAACGTTCCTGCTCATGCCCAGCTCTGGATGTGTTCCTCCTCTCACTTGAAATGCTTGACTCTTTTCCTCTGCAAACCCTCCCCATTCTTGAAGTCCTGCTTCTATCAAGTACGGCTTGCTGGCTCTAGCCTCTTCTGCTGGCCCCCTTAACTTCTTAGATTGCTACCTATTATTGTGTAGTGTCACTTAGCTGGTTCTTCAACTAAACTTTAAATTCCTTAAAGAAAGAAGCCACATCTTAGATTTTTCCCAGTTCTTAAGGTCTTGTCTTAAGCATTGACTGTTTTTTTTTTAACAAATAGTCAAAATTTTAGCATCTGTGAAAATTCAGCTCTTAAAACAATAATCGTACCGATTCCCAGCACCTGTGTCACATGGGGTTAAAACATACTTTTTATTTTTTCCAGCATTTTTTTTTTGTCTCAGCTGCCCAGTGGCTGCATCACATAAAAATTGTTGGGTTTTATTGAGCAATATGAATGAGAGGGAAGTAGATCCTGAAGTAACAAAAGCTTCCTTTGAGCATGAAATGATTTATTTAAATAAAAAAATTCTTTTCTTCTGAAAGCAAACACTCGCAGGCCATTGAACCACTGTTGGGGGAAAAAATGACGAAAGCTAGTCAGTTAGAATGTGTTGATCTGGCCGATAATGATTACAGACTTAGCTGTGTCTAACCCTGCGTCCTCCGTGTGGGAGAGTCAACAGCTTCCCACGGTGGGAGCCTGGGGCCGTGCGGTTCACACGGCTGCCTGCCCATCACCTGAGCTCCAGGCCGCTCACGCTGCTTCCTCCTGGAACTAAGGTGTGGTTGTGCTACTGCTGATGAACCTCCCAAGGGTGAACAGTCCACCATGGGACCAAACCACAGGGTTGCTTCTGTCTCCAGGAGCTACCCTGCCTCTCCTCAATGCCACTCCTGTCGGTCCTTATGAAGTCTGGCCATCCACTGAGAAGAGAGTAGACCTGCCCCTCGGGCAAGAAACCGTGTGGTTTTCTCACTTGGGATCTTAAAAGGTCCCATGACTGTTCTCTGAGGGTACTGGGATTTGGGAGGCTCACCTTACGGTCTGAGTTTAAGTGCCCCCTCTGTGGAGAGCCCTTTCCTGATCAATCATAGTATCCAATCCCCATGCATAGTTTTACACGGTATTTCCATGTTTTTATATCCACTTCACAATCTGTGTGACTAGTGGAAGTCATCCTGCTTGTTATTTGTTTCCTTTTCATTTTCTGTCTTCCCCATGAGCTTGTAAGCATCACAGAGTGCAGGGGACTTGGTTTGTGCTGTTCACCACTCTGTGCCCAAGCCCCATGAGAGTGCTTGACATATAGTAAGTATACAGTGAATATTTGTCCAAAGGCTGAACGACTGCTTCATGTTGAACCATCTGTCAGGGAACACCCCTCCCTTGGGTTTTGCTTTGGGGCAGTGATGTGTGACTTGAGAGGAAAGAACAAGGTAGCTTCAGGAAAGAGCATTTCAGTATTGAAGCATTCGCAGCATGAAATCCCATGCGCACTCATTCAGAGAATTCCAGCACTCAGTAACTGGGGCAGGGTTACTCCTGGCTTCAGTGTACCGGTTACAAGAGAGTATCTCTGAAAGGAAGTGGACTTCCAGGGGTGAATCACACTCCAAACATGATTCTGTTTGTTCCGAGGTGACAACTGGTATTAGCACGGCACCGTTGTTCTGTAAACACTTGGTGAAACGAGTTTAACAGAGGGAACAAGTAGGACATTACAAAAAAGAAAAAACTTTTTTTAAGGTTTGCATTGATTGATCCAAAGAGTTGTGATTGCCCATTCCTCTTTTCCTCTTTACTCTCCCCTACTCTGGCCCTTATAGTTACTGCAACTCTTCTTCATATGGAATAAGTCTCTCATGCTTCAGGATGGTAGGGTCCCAGGTTTCTCAACCCTAGACTGAATGAAGACTGACATTTCATGTCATTTTTAAACAGACCATAAACTGGGTCTCTGGCAGACCTTGAAATGGAGGGGTCTTGAAAGAGCAAACATTTTTAATAATAAACTTTTCCAAATATATGTTTTTACCCAGACAGTGATTTTAACACTGCAAGAGTACAGAGGTTATGAATTGGCTCAGTGGAATCCAAGGAAGAGAGGATGTGGTTACATTTTTCAATTAATTAGGGAGTTGTCAAACAGGTTGACATCCTTGGTAGTGGTGTGAAAAACACAGTACAGGGTTCTGACCTGCCACTGCCGCCATCTATGTGACCTTTGGGCAAGGTAGCTTGGCATACACAACTTCTGTTACATGAAGACAAATCATGGCATTTTATCTGATCTCCTGTCAACCACAGGACCCAGTGGAGGTAGTAAAGCAGTCTGTGAACAAAGACTAATTTCTGCCCAATAATGAAGATTTCATTTGAATTAAATAAAAGGAACCCACCTATCACTTCTTTCTGCTTTTTGTATTGAGGTTTCATTTAAAATGTTATTTGGGAAGAAGATTCTGTGTATCAGATCATCTCAGGATTTCCCTTCCTTTTAATATAGTCCTCGATTGTTTGCCATTTCTGTGGCCATTTAATTACTAAATTGTTTCCATTATGAGAATTCTGAGAGCTGCAGAGAACAATCAATTTGCTGCTCTACTGCTGGCAAATTATTTAGCTCATAAAAACTCATGGCTAAAGCCAGAAGTTTGAGCTCTATGTGAATTTTAATCACCTTGTCAGAAATTGTGCAGTGATAGTAATTTTCACTCTTGCCATTTGGGTTTAAATAAAAAGTATGTGTTGTGCTGCAGGATAAACACACACATCATCTTTAGTATGTCTGTATATTAACTGAAATAGGCACATGACCTGTGGATGTATCTGCCCAATAGGGATGTTGCTCTCTGTCTGGTCATACTGCAGGCCTGGGGAGCATCACGTGCTCATCTAGCTCACAAAGCTCTCCTGCACT